TGAGTAAGCTGCAATTAGAAACGTGTCATTGTCGTTGTCTCATTAATCAAGTTGTAAAAGTAAAAGTATAAAATTTCCTTGGATGTGGCTTATCGGGAGAATTACACATTTTGGAGAAAATATAACAAGTAGTACTACGTCTTAGAGAAAAAAGGTTTTATGCTCCTACAATGTCTGACTAGTCAAACTAGTCAGTGTATATATAACATCATGTTGGGCCTACTGTTGATTGGAATTTATTGAAAGCAGAGATAAGTAGCCATAATGGTTAATAATGTTTATGTTGGCATGTTCTGTTAATTATTGTTGTTGTCATGTTTGAGGACTGTAGAGTAAATGACTGATGGAACTACTGTCTAATTGAGCTACTGACAGATAGATGGCATTGGGCCAATAAATAATAAAAGGCGACGCAAATTGGCGCATTTGTTAACTTGGCCAAAGATCAAAGCGAATATCTCAACGATTCATTTCTGGCCATTTATTAGAAGTGTGCATGTATGTAATGTATATGTAAATATATATATAGATATATATATATACATTTTTATATATATTTATTGCTGAGATAGTGCGAGCAACACCGGAACGACAAGGTGCAATAAACAGAAATCAAATACAAATTTTATCAATTCAATTTGCGTCGAAATGCGCTTTTAATAGTCAAGTGGAAAACAGGTGCTAGACAATAGACACACACACACACATATATATATATATATATATATATATATGTATATATATAGCTATGTAGCTGGGTGGAGGAAATGGTCAATGCCTTATGGGGCATTTCCGATTTGAATTTCATTAGATATTAGAATTGCTGAACGGATCATAAAGCTTGCTAAAGTAATCGAACTCAAACACAGGCAATTGTAAACTGAACTGACTAGCTAATAATCCCTACCGTCTTCCCCCAATCCCCTTACCCTACATCCATTGTACCACCACACTTTGATCAGTTTGTCGCATTTGGGTTCTCTGTTTTTCTGTTTTTAATTATCCATTTATTGATTTCACTTGTGCAATTTGAACTTGTCTTCAAGCAAGCATCGGTTTTAAGTGGCATTCATTATAAACAAGAGAGAACGTTGCAGTCGAGCGTCACAGACTGCGAAATACTTTGATACCATAAGTAATACAAGAAATACCATCCAAGTTTGCCTTTCAAGTTACGGTAGATATAGACTTGTGTGAATTTTGGGGACAGGAGTGGGTGTGGCCGGAAAAAAGTGTTGGAAGAGTCTTCTAGTAATCTTCCTTCCAAATTTGGTATATGTAGCTTTTAAATTATGGGATAAATGTGCTTTTGGGAACTTTGGGGGCAATAGTGGGCGTGGCCAAAACAATTTTTTTTAGGACGATCTTAGTAATCTACATTCCAAGTTTCATAACCATACCTTTAAAATTGCGGGAGATATAGGCTTTTATCGTTTTAGGGGGATTTTTAAAGGGTGTTATCAATAATATTTGTTATTGGTTTTTAAAGGTGGCTCCTGTAACCAGTAACAAACTACCAAATTTGCCGGCTCTAACTCAAAAACTGCGGAAGATATGGCCATTTAAAATTGTTAAGGGCGGGGAGCCTGGGAGCTGCGGGGGTGGGCGTGGCATATATCGAACTTTGAAGGACATCGCCAACAACCTGCCACCCAAATTTGGTGGCTGTAGCCTTAAAAGTGTGGGAGATATATGGCCTTATCGATCTGTTAATATCGATTTATCGATTTCCTAGCACCTAGTGGACGTAGCACTCCAATTTTTGCACATTGTCTGTCCCGAGCACGGACCAGTATATGTTTCAAGTTACAAGTTACAAAAAAGTTGCGTTCATACAGACGGACATTGCACAAAACCAATATACCATGAGACCTTCGGTATCAAAGTATAAAGATATCCATATATCTAGGTACTTATGTGTGTGTATATAGATATATATTTATATATATATATATATATATATGTATATATATATATATATACATATATATGTGTACATATGTGCCCCTTTATGAGCCATTGCGCTACCGTGCTTTAGTGCTCTTCGCCTTTCCTGTGCCCCGTACTCATGCCCCATGCCCCACGCCCCGCCCCCAACCCTTTTATGACCACTCATTGAACTCGGTTCGTCGGTTTACGGTGCCGGTGGCCAAACGAGTAATGGTTGATTTTAATTAAATATATCTTCTTCCTGTTTGCTGTTTCCATTTGTATTCGTTTGCTGCTGTCATTGCTCTATGTGACATGTGCTCTATTCGTCATTACTACTAAGTACATACACACAGACACACACACACACAGAAATATATATATATACATATGCATATATATATAGTACTGCTAATGAAGATACGGACTTCTCTATACCCACTTTCCACGCACTCAATAATAAGTGCGATCAGTTCAGTTTAGAACAGTTTTTATTTTGATTAGACTTTCTCTTTTGCCAACATACAACATTTATAGGCCAGCAAAGATTGTTGTCTTTTGTGAACTTCATTCTCGTAGGTATTCATCAATCAGATTACAATTTTACAAAGTTAGATACAAATGACTGCAAAGAATTGTTGGTGTATTTTAGGATATTCACAATTGAATATTGTTTGAAATAAAATAGTAAGGATATTTTTGGGTTTATCCTTTATATTTGTTAAAGACTGGCACATTTTCTCATCTACTTTTATCTAAGGCAAACTGGTAGACTTGAAGCTAAGTTTTAATATAATATAATACAAGGCCTTCAGCTCCTTCAGTGTTCAGTTTACAATTATATAATTTTATATTGTTAATGAATTTGATATTTAATGTTTCGTATTATTTATTTCATATTATTTATTTGGGGTGGGGTCTGAATGGAGATGGACATACTATCTTAAATATTTGAGCACAAATCTAAAATCAACTTTCTTTTTAACTTACTCACTTGAGTGCTCATGATTCTCCAAGCTAAGAGATTAGTATTCAGAACATGCATTAACATTATAATATAATAGTTCTTACATTTTAAATTTCAATTTAGGTATTTACTTTTAATTTGATTTGATTTGAATTAAAACATTAAATTTATATTTCTTAAATCTGTCTTATAACATTTTACCCGGTTTTCTTCAGCATGGAATCCATAAATAGATAAACAAGTAAGAGTGTGGTAGTCGAGTGAGCTCGACTACGACATACCCTGAACCCAGTGCATAGCTTAGAACTTGGTAGTTTCACCCAAAGAAACTCGTATGTAAGAGTGGACACAAGAGCTGGTTCTTTGATTCGATGGTTGGCTTGTTCTGGTTACAGTCAATATTCGCTGGTGCAACGGAAGTGAAGCCACTGGCTGAGTGGATGTGGAACCACCACAGTCACTGTTGCGCCTTTGCTCCCCCCCTCTCTCTCTCTCACACACACTCTCTTACTCCATTGATTGACAGCAGCTGCATAAATAATAATTGTATGCCATTTATAATAGTTTCGTTGTTATTCTTGTGGCCGTTGTTGCTGATGCAAAGGAATCGGAGCCAGTGGCTAACTCCAGCAGAGAGCGGACGGCAGCTGAGCAATGAACCGAACCATAGCCGGGTGGTAGGGAGATAGTGTGTGTATGATGGAGGGGGGGAGGGTTGTGGTCATAGGATTGGATTAGCGAATCGCCTAAGCACCCCGTTGACATTAAAGTTGATTGCAAACTGTACGCATTTATGATGATGGCTGTGTTGATCATCATCATTATCATGATGATGGCGTTGCATTATCATCGTTGACTGCCGGTCGTTTTAATAGTTTGCCTTTGCGCGCGTTTTTAATGGGCGATTATGTAGTGCGGTAGAGCGGAGCGCAACGGAACGGAGCGGTACAGTAGCGAGTGCCCCGCTGTTTTCTTGCAATTTTCCATTAGTTTGCAACTCTATATCAATAAAAAATATATATGTACACATTAAGAGAAAAACAAAAAACAAAAAACAAAAAATATACCGCTGTGATTGCCTTGATGAGTGTGTGAAAAAAGCGCGCTTGGGAAAACTGCAAGTGAAAAACTGCCGATAACGATAACGCATAAAATAGAATTCAATTCAACGCCTTTATATATTCTTCTATTTTCTCATTTGCAGAAGCGTGTGAGCTATGAATAGGTTAATGAAAACCATAACCATATTCTATATATTTAATACCAAGTTCTAAGGTATTTGGGTATTCTACAGTAGAAAGATGATTTTATGTCAGAAACCCAGACCAAGTCACAATGAGCAAAAATGCACAATTTTTGTAGCGTTAACCATAATTGTCAAGATTATTTTCAAAACCAGGGGTTCGAATGTTCGATGCTGCTTCCAATTTAGTCTGAAAGAGTTGTTATAGCAGCTGTTGATGGCATTTCCCTTCTGTTGCGGAGAACATATTCCTGTTTATCAGTCACAAAATCGCCTCACTTCTTTCGAATAATGTTTTCGCATTTATTCCTTAGCTTTTTCCACGGTCGATTAACAACAGATTTGAGGCAAGCTAGCAAACTCCATGTGACATTTGTCTTTGATCTCCATATGAACATTATTTTCTTTCGTTATTTATATATATTGTTTGTGTAGAGCTTATTGAGGCAGTGTTGAGAGCGACTCCATGTTTTCTTATTGTAAGTTTATAGTAGCATAATATATGTATAAATAAAGGAATATATATTTCAAGACAAAAGACTAATATTTTTCCTCATACTTTTGTTCTTTTCAGAGATGCAACAAATAACACTGCAATCAGCGGCAGCAACAACAACAATAGCAACAAAATTAACAACGAGTAGCACTAATTGTAACAACAAAAACAACTTAACACTAACTATAATGCGCACAACAACAGCAACAACAACACGAACAACAAAGGCAACAACAAGATTAGAAAGAAACATAAGCTCGAAATTTCATAAACGCCGACGAAGGCGGCGCAGCCAGCAGAGCACCAGCGGCAGCACAACAACAACAACAACAGCAGGAGCAGCAGCAAGAACAACAACAGTAACTAGAAGAAATAGCTATCCATATTTAAATAAAACTGGCGCCTATTTGACGCTGCTGCTCCTAACCACAACATGTTCCTTGTGCGCTGTGGCCACCGCAACCACGTCAAATACTGCAACCCCAGCATCAACTGCAACCGCTGCCGCTGCCTCTGCCTCTGCCTTGACTAGCGGTAGCGTCAGCGCCTTTGTGTTGCCCAGTTCACCGTGTGCGCCGCAGCATTGGTGGGATCAGGTGCAGGACAAGTGTACGCCATGCACCAGCTGCCAGGGCGAGATGATTCCGCTGCGCCCCTGCCAGCTGCACATCGATACCGTTTGCGGCTCCATCTACGACCTGAAAATCGATTGGGTGGTGCTGGCCAAAACGGAGCCAAACTGGAAAGAGGTAGGGAGTATGCAGGCTGCCTTGCCTCCGCTTCTCAATAATCCATGTCGATATTGTATGTACTTTGTTTTGCAGCGCCGAAAGTCATCGGAATATGAGCATTTCGATCAGGCAACGCCGCTGCAGCACTTGAGCCACGAGCAGCTGCAGCAGCTGCATGAGGAGGCAGCCGCTGCCCTGTCCCTCGACTGGCAGACATGCGCCCTCTTCATCGCAATGCTCGCCTGCCTGCTCTTCTTCACGGTGGCCGCCTGCATACTCATCCATCATATGCGCCAGTGGCGCCGCATGGAGCGCCGTTTGGATCAAGGTGAGTTTGAGTACCACTCATAAAGTATGCCGTAAGATCGTTAAGGCATAATATTTTGTGAACCAGCTCCAGTTGCTGCTCAAACTGTTTTCTGTTTGAAAACCCAGCGTGGACAGCGTGGAATGAGCTACGCCCTTGCCCAACGCGCCTGCTTCGTCCAAATGTTCCACTGAATTCGTTTAAAGAATTTATTATATCTATTTTTAAGGCGACTTTCTAACTTTCTCCAATAATTAAAAAGAAAATCTTATTTAAATTTTGGACAACATTTTGAAGTGAACTTCGAAGCAAGTTTTCGACAGTTCGTAGATGCCTCAGTTAGGGTAATTTGTTTGTGGCGGCCTTTGCTGTGACTTTCACACGCCTTGGACTTGGGAGCCTCCTCGAGAGGCACTCAAAGGTTGCAGCGAGTCCAGTGGATAAATGAGTGGCCGTGTTTCACGATTCCATTCCCAGCCGAAACCCAGCGGCACTGTGATCGTGGCACGCAGTGGCATGCACCTCCACCCGGAGCTGCTTAGCATGCCCGTCGTGTGTGTTGGTTGCGTTTTATTTGATTTCTAGTAGAAAGCTGATGGCGAACAACAACAATAACAACAACAACAACAACCAGCCGCTGCACTAAACCCTTACATATTTATAAGGCGTCAGGGCACCAAACACGACACTTTGATGTATGGGAGTTGCCCGACAATCGCCATCGCGGCATCTCGTTCACATTGTAGCCACAAATGCAATGCAAAAGACGCGCGTCCCTTTGCGCAGATTTCCAGCGAATTGCAGCACGAGCTGCGAGCTGCGAGCTGCAAGATTTGGGAGCCGAAGTTGCAGCAAGCGGCAGCTGAGCCGCATATTAATGAGCAGCTCTGCCGCCCACCAAAAGAACAGCGTTTGCGCGCCAGCCTCAAAGTAGAACGAAACGTCCAAATATTTGGCGCATGTGCGTCCATCCGTGATATTGCCTTGTTGACAACATCGGCAGCGACACGTTTTGCATACATTTTCAACAACAACAACAACAACAGCAACAACAAACACACTTTTGTTATGCTTATTAATATTTGTAGCCAGCTTGAAAGTTTTGTTGTTATTGCATTAACATTTTTAATTTATTTCGTTTTTGGCATGTTCGTGTTTAAGCTGACCGCAAACATGCGTTCCACATGAACACAGACCGCAACCGAACATGAAGGGTAACAAATTTCAGATAGATTGATAGATATACGAGCAGGTGGCCGTTGCCAGTGAAGTACAGCGCTTAAGAACCGCATATAGCCAGGAGGCATGGAGGATATCGTATTTACAAACAAACAAACAAATTTGCTCCAAGCATTATGCTTGAGGAAAGTTAATGAGGCTGAAATCTGATTTCTTTCAAATTAAACACGTCAAAAATAACATACTTTTCCAGACCGTACTTAAATTGCCGTCATCTCAAATTTACTATAAATTTACTATTTAGTTAAAAAACTACAATAGATAAAAGTCGATGTTCATATTTTTTGTTCTGAGTATTATAAGACACACATTTTTAGTGGGTTAGGACAACTTGAGAAACACAATAAGTTCCTCAAACAAGTACTCATCTTTCGAGCGATCGTTTCTATACTAGCTATGTGATATATTTATCTGATTTCGGAGATTTTTATATGTAAGAAGCATAATAGTACGCATATTGCATAACAAGTGTTTCTTACAAATATTCATCTTTCTATCGATCGTTCCTATGGCAGTTATTTGATGTAGTCTGAACCGATCCGGTTGGCTCTGTCTTATGTACTGCCTGCAGCAGAAAGATTGGAGATTGGATTACAAGCTTCATGACATACTTATAAAAACCAAGGTATATCGGTGATCTCGTTTCTAATTAGGGTTCTGTTCGGAAATTTGTAAGTTTTTTTTTTGCGAATTTGAAGAGATGCTGCTTTCGATGGCCTTGACAAACCTATTTGCATCCATTCCAAAGACGGCATAAATTATCGTCATTTATATATCATATATAGATATGTTGCAGCATTGCACGTACAACAAATGTTGCACACACCACGCATTTCTACGATTATATGTTGTCTGCTTAGTGCTGTCAGTCACAAAGGCTGCTTGAATATGCCGAGAAGGAAGAAATAAATCAAAGTAAATATGTATATCTATCTATTTATACATATGTTTATATTTGCTTGATATGACTTACTGCTTTCAAGGCCAGCTGCTTTATCAAGTGGTATATAAACTTAAATTACATTTCCGATTGATAATCAAACTAAGCATGAGCCTTTTGGTCATTGTTAATACATTGCTTTAGATAAAATGATGTCAAACATAATTATAGAAAGGTCGATACTAAATTATATATACGACTCACATTCAATAATATATCTGTGAATTTCTGATCTTAGCTCTCATATGGATAGACACAATTTAGCAATAATACAAGTATTATTCCTCTCCAAAGTTTACAGAAGTTTGTTTTTGATTTTCTCGCAGAATCCAGATATTCTAATACTCAGCGCCTGTTGTTAAAGTTAATACTTAAAAGGGTCTCAATTCAAAGGTTAAAACTTAAATGCAGTAAGTACTTCGATAGCTAGATACTTGAACGTGTATTGGTCTGTTTGTAAGAAATATTCTCATTTAGCATCTTCGATGCCACATGGTATTTGATGCGCAACAAGCAATAACTAAAGGCCAAAGAATAACAACAACATTGGTAAACATCGTGAATTTTCCACGCTTTTCGCGCCTACCCACCCACGGGTGCGTGTTTGGGGGCAACGAAAATAATGTATGCCTTTCTTTGATAGGTTCCATGTTGTGTTTTCCTTTGCTTCTTGTAATCATAATTCATCGCGTGTCGACGTCGACGTCGACGTTAACGTTGACGTTGGCGTTGGCGTCGGCCCACGCAGCGCCCAGCAGAAAGTGCATTCATGTCCAGCGTGGAAAATTTATGAAGCCGCCAGCGAAATGAAAATACACAAACCGGGACAGACGAATATAAAAAATAAACCAAAAATCATAAATAAAAAATAAAAAATGAACAAACACAAAACTTCAGCACTTGCTAACGATCCCACAAAACCGAGTGAGTACATCTGTAAATATACCAGGGAGATACCCGGCTATATAATCAATTGGCAGACCAAAACCGGAAACACACAACAACAAATGCATGTCCAGGTAAACGACACGTGCATCGGAAGAGTAAACGCAACACGCCACAAATGTTGCGTGTGCGTGGCGTGTCTAGCTCAAGGACAAGCGGATGTTTGTAGACCGCAGAGACGAATCACTTCCGCGGGCATGTAATAAAATTCCGAAATCATGTCACAGCGGCAGCCAAGTGCTATAAAACAAACGAAGGGCAGGAAATGCCAAGCAGCGACTGCGACGCCTTCTTCATGCAACGCCTTTTTGTGTGGCATCAGGCAGCCTGCAGAGAGTGACAACCGTATGGGAAATCGAGCAGCAATCGAATGCCAAACGTTGCACTTGGATAAATGCTTTAAAAAAACACTTCTTGTTGGCGCAGTGCTCCGCTTCCCGTTTGCTGTCTAAAAATAGTCACCGAATTCGATTAAGTTGTGGGTCTTCGTCTCCTGTTGCTGATGATGTTGATGATGATGATGATGACGATGATGATGATGATGATTAAATATTGGACCAGCTGTCGAGTCGAGTACAGGAAGTTGTTGTTGCAAGGAAAGGTGTGACTGAGCGCATTCAAGCGCACTCTTGACAATTGCCCCTCTTCAATGCAGGTCCTCCGCCCCTTTTATCAGCTTCCCCTTCCTCTCACCGTGTTCACTACCCTTTCCATTTACATTTGCCATTTTTGCTTGGCACGCGCTCATGGCTTCCTTCAAGTTGCAGCATCGCAGGCAATAAATTTGCTCAGTGCGCCAGCTGAGCAAATGCAGAACCAAAAAAAAAAAAGATGAAAATTCACACAACTCGCACAAATGTTGCAGGCACACTCGTCGATCTGGCTGTTCCGTTCCCTGTATTTTTACGGCATTTCCAAAAATAACAATGCCGTTCCTGCCTTCCTCTATCCATGGACATGGAGAAGATGCAGAAGGAGCTGGAACCGAAGACAGAGCCTGTATAGTCCAGCAAGGGCAAGTCGCGTGGCACCGCAAACAAAATTACAATTTATGAATATATAATATGAAGTATTCAATGGAGTAAGAGTAGCGAGATATATGTGCAGAGAAAGCGACTAAAGAGAAAGAGGCTAATAAATGAAGTAGAGCAAGAGATTCACAGAGTTTTTATATAACGTTTCGAGAGTTAAACATAAGAATATACATATCTGTGTTTTTCTATATATCTTAACATGGGTTTTTCTTACTTCCGATTGTACTCCGACAAGATCCTTAAATGAATGTCCACTTTGAACCAAAGAAAAATAGCATAACATTTTAACAAGGGGGAAAACATAAGGGTTTTTTTTATTCCAATTTGTATTGACTTATTCTTTGATATTGTAAGACGATTTCTATACCCATGTAGAGGGTATTAATTTGTGTTATGACGTATGTGACACATTGAAGCAGGCGTCGTCTACTAGATTGCATAGAAACGCATCTATTTTTGAAAATAAAATATTGAATATCCATAAAATCTAAAAGCTAAACATTCGGAGAATTTTGGAATGCATGTACAAAATCGAAATACACAATATCATTTTGAGATCACTTCAATCACATGATCTGTTGAAATTCAGCTCCCCGCGCCCTCGTGTGGTACTTCCTTGTTTCTTTCCCAGACTTGATGTTTGCACTAATCAGTTTGCTAGAATATTCTTGGCATACCGTTTCCATGGAAAATTGGATTGTGCCGCTTTTCCCAATATTCCAAATAAACTGACATACTGTATACTGTATACGTATACAATTGACGATACATACGTATGTACTCGTACTCTGGCATGTACTCAGACCCGTGATCATAGCCGTACTCTTATCCGGACTCATACTCATACTCGCACCTCCATCCGCATGTATATACATATGTACTTAGATTCTCTTTGGCGCATTGAACATTTCGAAAATAATTGAACTGCGCAAATTTGAAAATTGTTTTTTGCTTTTTTTTCCAATGGGGTATTTTCATTCTGCTTTTCTTCACAAAATTGTTGATGAACATTGTTGTTGTTCTTGTGTGAAATTTTGCTGGGATTGTTTATAATAAAGAGCAAAGAATCGAAAGCCAGCCACATCGTGTCCGTTGGGCAATGGAACTTAATTTTCATTTTGATCTTCTTCTTTTCTTATTCCTCAGCACATTTTTGTTTTTTTTTTGTTCAGTTTTCTCGACGTGTGTCGATTTTGTTTTTGGTTTTTTTCTTTGTTGACTTCAGTTTAAAAATAAATTATAAATTATCTGCTGGCTGTCTATTTTGGCCACGCCCAACATTTACGCCCACAACGCTTGTTTACAAGTCGGAAATGCGCACCAAAGGCCCCTGAACGACCCCCTTTCGATTTCCTGGCACTGACAATCAACAATGTCTGCTAGTAATAATTGTTGATCTGACAGCGCGAACACAAAAATACAATAAATATTTTAACAGGCTTATGGCTGTGTTTAGTAAGGCCTTTACAGTATTTCATAGAGCTTGCGAAAATTACTTGCTTATACTGCGTACATACGTATACAATATGTACGTACTTAAATGGACGGCAACCGAGACCATTTTGACCTTCAGCAAACAATTGGAAAGATTTTGGAAGGTTTTCTCTGCTATCGATTGCTGTTAAATTAAAAGTTAAAAGTTTCGGTCCTTTTATTTGGAAGAACACACAATGCCATGCAGCTTGACTAACTTGATTACCTGCCAAAGTTTTGAGAAAGTTTGAAATTTCCCTTTAATATTAAAGGCAACCAACCAACGATCTTCGATTTGATTTTAACGCATTAATCTTGGACTATATAAAATGAAAATGTGCACTTTATATACATGTATATATCTATATACGCGTATTAAAATATAATGGAACGGGCAACTATCAGCTGTCTTTAGTAGCGGTTCCTTATGAACAACTTACGATCAACTGCTAATGCCAACTAAGTATTTCTAACCAAAATTCCAGATGTTGTTAATGGTTTTGACAAATGTAAACATTTTCTTAATTTCATATGTTCTTTCTCTTTTATTTTTGCAGATGTAGAAGAGTTGTCCACGAAACTGATGGCCAAGCTGGCCGAGGTGCAGAGTCTGGATGGTGGCACCTTCTTCATAGGCAATGCGGATGCGTTGCGTGGTCTGCCTGCCTCGGCCATGACGGCGGCGGCGGCGTCGGCGTCTGCGCAGTCGGGCATCTTTCAGCCGCAACATGTGCTGCTGCCTGGTAAGTGTGTCAAAGGTCAAACCACTTGAGATCGTCCACCAGTCCAATGTGATACGCCTGGCAGGGGACTGGGCTAGACCGGCAACTGTAGCGGGAACTGTGACTCGAACTGCGACTGTGACTGAGCTGGGCGTTGCATACACGCCGCGGGGTTACATTCCACAATCGAAAGAATTTCATTTCATTTTTCAATTGTATATATGTGTGTGTGTTATTTTTGTTGTATGCTTGCTCCTTTTTGCCCAAGGCGTTTGCGAATTGGCATTTAAATTGGCCATTGAGCCCGTGGGCGGCGGCCTCATGGCGGCGACAATAGCCGTTTAATGGGCCCATCCAATGCGATCGCAATTGATTCCATGGCAAATGCAAATGAGAACGCGCCAGCACAGAATATTAATACCGACTCAATGGGGGACTACGGTTGTCACTCAGTTTTGACAGCCATGCTTGTGGCCTACAGCTCAAAATTTTACTTATATTTCTCTCTCTCTCTCTCTCTCTCTCTCTCTTTGTCTGCCTCTTTTGCTCGCTGTCTCTAGTGGAGAAGCATGCCAAGCATCAGGAGCGACGCATTCTAAAAACGCTGCAACCGGGCAACGTGTACATCGAGGAGAACAACGGAATCGGTACCGGAGGCGGAGTTGGACTTCTGGCCGGCTCGAAGGGCTGAAACTCAAGTTCTGGCCAGCAGCTAATGCATTTTTTGTTAACAACCTAAGTGTACATTTACGTCTGGTACCACTTATACAAGGCATAAGAGCAGCAGCAGCAGCTGCAACAACAACAACAACAACAACAACAACAACAACAACAGCAGCAACAGCAACAGCAACAGCAACAACAAAAACAACAATAACAACAGCATCAGCATCTTTACACAAAAAGAAAACTGAAAGGAGCTCGCAAACTTGCAAAACTGAAGAAATATATTAAATACGCGTACGAGTATATATTATTGCCTAATATTTAATTTAAATGTTATGTTGACTTGTTTGTAATGGAAAGGCACAGCAATTAATTACTATAATTAATAAATAATTATTTAAATTGCGCTTCTTACGTTCAAAGCTGGCAAATAGTTTAGCCAAAATCACAGAACTTTGACTTTCGTCAAACTACTCAAATTCAATAAAAGCCTTATCAATTTATTTGTATTCGAATACCAATTCATGAATTTATAAATACCATTTCATCTGGAAATTTCGTCAGTGCCTAAATTTAAATTTGTAGCCAAACTGTTTGCCGCAATGAACGTTTATTGAATTCTAAATGCGAAATTGGCAAATCGTTTTGTAAATAAATAAAAGTCGTTCTTTGTTTTTTTTTTGTTTGTTTTTTAGAGCAAGAGTGTGAAAGAGAGAGCGAGCGAGAGTGAAAGAGATCGAACAGAGTTACAAACTATGAATGCATTATAATATGATTAACAAATTTCTACTTAATGTAAATATTAAGGCGAGCGAACGTGACGAGTGGAACAGAACCAAGCAATATCGGCAGCATATCAGCTACTATATGGTTAATATATAGTCGTGCATAATGTATATCATACATATTATCGTTCATCCATAACCCACGCCCACAGCCACGCATACTCATACATATATACGATTATACATATATTTATAAATATATAGGAGTATATGCGAACATATTAAACGTATATTAACTATAAAGAACTTTCTTTTGTATTTGTTCTTATCGAAATGCGAAAATATTCAGTTAGGATTATAAATATTTAATATTTTATAATTATTAAATCGCATTCGAAATTGGCTCTGGCACATTAAAATAAAAATTCAACTAATAACAACAACCGACAAATCGAAACACAAATATTGTAAAATTCAAACAAGAAGAACAATAAATAAAAAAAGAGAAAAATGGAAAAATGAAAAATGTTTATAACTTAAGTGCTATAAGTGTGCAACAATAAAAAGTTTTATAAATTTATTCACTTGTTTCAACCTAATTTTAATTGTTCGGTATTTTCATTGTGTGAATTGAAGGCTTCCCATTGATTTCTTGCCGCCCGTCTGCCAAGGCACTCAGCGGGAAACAGGCGAGAGGGAGAGAGAGAGAGTGAGGGAGGGAGTGCGACCCTGAAGATTGAAAATTGAATCTTTCACTCGATATTTATGGTGTGCAGCGTTACAATGCCCAATTCGAATGGAACGTGTTTAATCGTATTCCATTGAAACTAATGTATTTTGTTTGAAATATATGAACATTCAAACAAACGATTGATCCATCGCAACTGCTTATATGAGTGGGTGTCTTTTTTCTTAAACACGATACAGATTACATACCCTACCCATTCTTACAAGACATTTTCTTCTATAAAATTTGTGTGCATATATAATGTGTATAATATCTAAAGTATTTTTATTATGGTGATTTAAGGGTCCCTATCTTGCATCTTTTTCAAGTCTACTCAGTTCATAGTTAAACGGGCACCGGCAAAGGCAACTACTTTAAAAATCTAGTAAGAACAAAACTATCGGAGGCACACCGAATCAAAGATACCCTTGCAGATGTCTCCTACATGGCCTTACACAATATGTGGCAAAAGCTCAATGCTCTCCCTCTGTAAATGGTATAAGAGTATGTTGGTAAATGCAAATGTCTCCAATGTTGCTGCTGAAAATACATATATGCTGATAGAGAGAGAGAGAAACAAAGAGAGTGAGAGAGAGAGAGAGAGAGAGAGAGAGAAGGAAGGAGGCATGGGGAAATGGGAGCGCGTAAGGCAGGAAACGTCTTTCAATGGAAATGAAAACGAAAATGAAAATGGAAATGGGTAGAGACAGAGACAGAGACAGAGACAGAGGCAGAGGCAGAGGCAGAGGCATATTTAGGTCCCCTATCACCCCTACAAGCCGCTATCCGTGTTTCTGGTATCAATAGTTGCTCTCGTGGGTGCATTAAGCATATTGCATTTTAAATTAACATTTGGCATTTTGCATTCGACGATTAACATTGAAAATGGAAATGGCAAACGACGAACGCCTTTGAATTTATTAATGTTGCTTTTGCAGTTACACAATTAGACGCTTGTTAAGGCAACAAAATTATTGCTGATGTTGTTGGTTGGTTGTTGCTGTTGGCACATCAAAGCGCGAGTTTGGTTTAGCCAAGGCAAAAATGGCGACGCACCGACTGAAAAACGCGCAAACATTTCTAATGAAAATCCGAAGATAACAACAATAACAACAATCGACACCCATTGCTTATTCCATGCACGAGCCGTGAGACTTTCTTGTTTGTTGCTGTTGCTATTGCTGTTGCTTTTGCTGCTGTTGTAGATTTGCCAATGCTGCCCCCATGTCTTGGACTGGCTAACAGAAATTAATTAGCTGCGACGTGGCATAAATTAGCAACAAAAAAAAAGAAGCAAGATAAAAAAATATTCAAACCAAATACGAAGCGTTGTCGTCGCATTGGCAGCTGGCGACTGGCCACGGAACGTAGCCGGTCGCCAATGCTATAGACTATTGGCCATAAGACTGGTGATCGGTTAATGCTACTATGCACTAATTGAAGGCACTACAATAATGATTTTAATTCTTTTCTCAGAATAGCCCAATAGGTGGATAAATTCAGTTTGCCTTACCAGCTAAGTTTGTTCGTGAAATAAGTAAAATGTTTTGCGTTGGAGTACAAACATCCTGTAAATTCGACAACAGGACAATGAAAAAGTTTTGTTTTTTCGTTGAATATCTATGTGCCTTGTGCGAATTTTATGAAGAATCGTCATCTTGAACTTCACTTTTTTTTATTTTGTATTTATTTTGTTTCAATTAATTTGTAATTTTTAAATTTTTTTATAATCTGTCGACTTTATAATGCAAATTTCAGTTCAAGATTTGAATGTAAGTTTTAGTGGTCACAGTATATAATTATATACAATTTTTTAAAATAGAATATTGAATATATGTATTGCATATTACGAAATGATGCAAAAATGTTAAATATATCGTTCCCTAAAAGATCTCAAACCGTTGAGAAAGATACGAAGAAAATGAACGTGCTCGTTTAAAATTTGAGTAAAAAGTGAAGCTCGCAACTGGAAACGACTTAGACTCTTCTGTTCTTGGATATTGTGACACATGCCAAATACATTGAGAATATTTTTAAAATGCGACACGGAGCGGCAGCATTGTCACAGCTGCCACAAGATGAGAGGCTGCAACGCCAACAACTAGAAGTTGGCTGCACTTGAAACAGATAAAGCGTCGAGTGTGGATCATAAAAAAAGAAAGAAAAAAATAAAATAAACGAAAGCGGAAACGGAAGGAAGTGAACATGAGCCAAGGCGATTGAAATGTTAGAAGCACTTGAAGCATTGAGATGCGGCTGCCGGGCGCAGAGGGGCGTTGCCGTTAATCCAATTCGTGTCGAATATACTTATGCTTCTTGCTGTTGTTATTGTTGTTGTTGCTGTGTGTTTGTGGGACGTGATTGCCAATTGATTAATGTATTAAAAATAGCGCCACGAATACGTCTATTGAATGGAATAGCTGATGGCAGCAACGTTTTTGGCAATGGGCGTGGGCGTCCCTCGTCAACGGGTGTGGCTCTCTTTTAGGTATGTATGGTGCAGAGAAGCGCTGAGGAGTATGGAGGTGGAACTGTAGTGCTAGTTTTGAGTTTCATTCACAAAGCGAAAACGTTGCCGATCGTACTACCCATAGAAGACGACATTGGCAATTGGAATGCGCCTGGCGTCCGCCTTTTGGGGCTGCCAATTAACCAGAGTCAACAGGGACCCAAAATTGGTGGCCCGCAGTTTTGATACACTTTGATTATCGATTTGGCTACGATTTTGGACGTTGCGTTTCCGCTGGCCGAGAAACGAGCGATGCGACGGAAATACGAGAATTGCGAAATGTGCGGACAATTTTTTTTAGATGGTTTTTTTCGACCATAACGTTACAATAGCAACAGCGACCACATCGACAACGACAACAACAAAGTCTTTAAATATTTATATATTTGTTCCCAAAGCCAATTGAATGCATCAACGGAAACTCGACAGATGTGAGAAACATACCGGAACGGATGCTGTTTTAGGAAATGATCAACGAGAGTTTCCTGTGGTCAACCCTTATCATTAGATATATGCCTCTGGATATGTATTAAACGACAGCTGGGAGGCATTCAATCAATTGAAAAATATGCAAATTTCCCATGTTGACAAAAAAACGGATATCGGACAAACAAAATAGAATATTTTATGTTGGTTTCTATTCTATTCATAGATAAACTTATTGTATTGACAATTTTATATGTATGAAATATATTAATGCATGTGTGAATCTGAGGGAATTTAAAGACAAAATCATTATCTGCATCACTTCGGTAGCTTCAATAATCATTATCAAATAAATTATTGCGTTTTCTTGATTGAAATACTTATTTTGAAATGTTTTTTTTTTGTTATGTAGCAATTATATTTAAACATTAATTAACCTATAGAAAAGTTTTAAATCTATAACATAAACATAGAACTGGTTTTAGCAGATAATAAATAACATTAAATATTACTTTTGTAGCACATTGATTTAATGCCCAACAGTCCAGAGGTCGCTGTTGTGGTGGCGCTTCAACCTCCTGTATTTGTATTTGTGTTTGTATTTGACCCAAGTGTGCACGCCAAAGGGCTTTTGGTCTAATACTAATGTATTTAAGTGATAAAACCAAGTTGATCCTTATATCCAAGCAGAAGTTGTGGAATTTCGACAAGAACATTGGTGTTGTATACGTTGATGCCTAAACCCAGATGTTAAATATATTATAATTTTATTTGCA